ATCGGAAGGGCCAGACGGGGGAGGGGGCACCTGCCGAGAGAGCCAAGCCATAGTGGCACGAAATTGAGCTGCATGCTTACGGTCAGGCTGCGGCGGGATATCCTCTAAGGAATCCTGCGGGACAAGCTTAAGCAACAGCCTGAGTTTGACAAGGGCGGCTTGCCAGAAACGGGCGTCGCGGTCTGCCTGGCAGGGCCCCTCAACCTGGGCGGCCGCGAGGGGCACCAAACGCAGCCTGGGCTCCTGGCAACGACTTATAAACTGGGAAACCTGATCCTGGGCCAAACCAAGCTTCGAGAAGGCCTCAAGCTCCAGAGCAACAATCCAGGTAGACAACTGGGCACCTAAATCGAGAGAGACCTGGATGTTGTCATGCATGAGCTTGAGGAGACTGGCAGCGGCATAGTTGGCCCTGAAGAAGTCTGGCCGCTTACGTTGCAGCAGCTGCGCGCGCGCAAGGAAGTGCGGCCAGGCTTCAACAGGGGCAGCAACGCCTTTGACAGGAATGGGCTTAGGTCGCATGGCCTTCCAAACCATGATGGCCCTGGGGGAAGCCAAAACCTGAAACTCCAAAGCGGCGTGAGTGCCCCAAGGCACTGGAACCAGCGACCTAGACTGGACGGCACTAGAGAAGCTAGCAGAGACCAGAGCGTAATCGATCCGACTGGTGGAGACCCCAGAGCACGCAACAGAAACACCAGGCATAGGAACAGGGACGAGGCCGAGAGGCTCCAGCCAACCTGACTGACTCCTCAAGAACACTCTGGTCCACCTGCCAGTCGCCCACCACAAAGGCGGGAACACCTGCCGCGCTCAGATGGGCGCCGAGGTCCGCCAGCAGCTCGAGGTTCTGACCGCTGAGCTCACCCCCCGTGACCAAGTAGACAGGGACGATGGTCAGGGAAACCTTCCGAAGCCTCAAGGTACACATCAACCACCGAGCCGTGCCAGCCGTAGTCCTTTCACCCGCCTCGCATGTTAACTGCGAGAGCCCAAGATGAGAACGCGCGGCGACCAGAACACCTGACGATGCATCATCAGCTAGCGTGGGCTCAGCGGCCTGCGCCACAATCTTCCAGCCCAGCTTGTGCAGCTTCTTGGCCATCGCCTGGTACTTGGATCCGCGCATCCTGTGCTCGACAAAAATGATGATGTCTGCCGAGCATGCTGCAACCCACCTGCAAGCGGTTGGGCCCCATACGCTGATGTTGGAGTAGACAATGGACAAGGAACGCTGAGGGGCGGTGTCACTGTCAGGGTCAGGCCCAGGCCCCTGACTCCCATCGTAATGCGAATCCAGTAAAACCGGCCCGCCGCCTGATCCACTCGGGGCATCACTGGGTGATTGCTCCAACCCCGTGGGCCGCAGGGAAGGGTTCGACTGCCCTGCGACCAAAGAACCTGTCGAATCAGGATTCCCAGCAGCACAGACAGGCGTTCCACCAGTAGCGACGATAGCACCAGGGCCTGAGGCACGGTTGGAGGTGTCAAACTCACGCTCAGCAAGGACCAAGGAGCGGGCGTGGCGACGACGTTCCTCTTCCCATGCATCAGGGTCTGACTGCGAAAGCAACCGCATGTTGTGATGGTAGCGAGCCCTCACACTCCTTCTGGACCTCCAGGCCGAAAGACAAATGTCACGAGCTATGTCCCGCCTCACAACAGCCAGGTTCTCAATGCCAGTCCGAGCCGACTGCTCCAAGACGAGAGGATCGTAAACACCCTGGGTGAGCAAGTCGGCAACATAAGTGACACACAGGCGCATCCAGTAATCTTGGTTGGTGGGCTCATCCAATAGACTCGGGTCCTGGAGCCAGAAGTTACTGTATAATCGCAGACGACGCTCCATGATGAGACGCTGACGAATGGCCTCACGCCGTTCAGGATCCTGGTCCTTGCAGGTGAGGACCGAGTTCGCGGTGTGCCCTACGGGCTCCCGCAGGACCGCGCACCCTTGGGAGCCAGGGGCCGTCCCCTCTCCAGCGGCGCCTCCCACGTCGCACGCCTTCTGGAGCCAGCGCAAACGCCTACCTGCCGTTGAGGTCGAGCACGGGGCCGAGGTCGCCGTCGAGCCCGAGGCAGTAGAAGCCGCAACCAACGCAGTAGTGGCCGTACCGCAAGCACATGTGGCGTCGTCTGCCGAGCCTCCAGCAAGACTCGCGCCGCGGGACTCCGTGCTGAGGTCTTGGCCTGGCCAACCTGCAGCAGGCACCGTCCGCGGGGTCATTGCCTTCGCAGGCGCGGTGAGTGAGCGCCCGTCGTATGAAATCGACAAGGACGTAGTCGCACCAGGAGAGGTCGTCAGAAGCGGGAGCGAAGAGGAGCCGCCTGCCGTCGAAGTGGACGGTACAGAAGAAAGTGAACATGTGGAGGCCGATCTTGAGAGTGCACCGCAAGGAGAGCTGCAGGTAGAACAGCTGTCACACGCTTGACCATCACCAGCAGAGCTAGGAGCCCGACTCACGAGCCTCGACCTTGGCCCGAGCAGCGGCAGCCTTAGCCCGTGCGAGAGTGTCAGCGCGCACCTTCTCAATCCTCTTTTCCTTATCGGTCGGCTCGGCAGGGGCCGCAGCAGCCACGGGGGCAGCCTTCGGCGCATCAGCAGCAGGCGCCTGAGAGGAAGCGGCGCTCTGGCTGCCCGCACCTTGAGAAGCCGCGACGCCTGCTGCAACCGCACCATCCGTAGTCTTGCGCTTCTTACGCAGCTCGCCCATCCGCTTCTGGTATTCCTCCTGGTGCGTCTTGTACTGGGACTTAATGCTCGTGAGCGCTCCGTGCAGGAGGGTCTTGACCTGCTGGGACTGCTCAAGCTTGAACTTCTCAAATCCCTCGCGGTCCTCGGCAGAAAAAGCTGGCCCCGAAACGTCCAGCTCCTCACAAAATCGAGCTTGATCTCCTCAGCGGAGCCCTTGAAGAGGTCGTCGAGGGAGATGGCGTTCTTGCTGGGACTGGGCTCAGCAGGCTTGAGAACTCCGACGGCAAGCTTACGAGTGGCCTGCTCAAGAATGCCAGCGTTCTCCAGATCCCTCGCCATGAGCTCGTCAAGGTGCTTGTCCAAGTCACTGGCCTCCTTGTCCAGCGCCGCACGGCGCGCCAGGGCCTTGTCGAGCTTCTCCTTGGACGCCTTCTTGGCCTGAGCTGCACGTTGCCACTCAGCCTGAGGTGTCGCCTGGGGCTGCGGCGGAGGCTCGGGCACGAACTGAGCAAGCAACTTCTGGGCAAGGTCGGGCGCGAGGTGCGAAGCAGCCTCCTTGACAGCCGCGAGAGCTTGAGGAGGGATGGCCTCGGAGGGGCCCTGCTGCACCTGCAGCGCCTGAGCACCCTTGCGCCAGCGACCCTTGGACTTGCTGCCTCCCTCACCCCACCCAGACTCCTCAGCACCGGTGTACAGAAGCATCTGGCCGCCGCCGCCGACAGAGGAGCTGAGCGGGTGGCGCTGGGACTGGCACCCGACGCAGAGACTGTGCCTCTTGGCCAGGAGGTCATCCCAAGTCCAGTGACCACAAGAGCACACAGTGTAAAGCCGAGCACCACGAATCTGCCCAGCCTTGGCGCCCCCAGGCGGAACTCGGATCCAGGATTGCCTCGTCCAGGATTCCTCCGCATCGTCGGGGATACGCCACGGGGCGGGGGCCATCGCAGCGCCGTAGCAACTAGCTCCGTCAGGAGCACACGAAAGATGGGCTGCCAGAAGCCCGTGCAGTACTGGCAAAAGCTGTCAGGCACAAGGCCTTGGCACTGCTGCGGACTAGCAGCTTCCAGTTCGGCACGAGGGCGCGGAGCCCTCAGGTGCAGCATTCTTGAGCCAAAATGGCTACGGAGGAGGAGGAGGAGGAGGAGAAGGAGGAGGCGGAGGAGGAGGGAGGAGGAGGGGGAGGGGAGGAGGAGGAGGAGGAGGAGGAGGAGGAGGAGGAGGAGGAGGAGGAGGAGGAGTAGGAGGAGGAGCAGGAGTAGGAGTAGGAGTAGGAGTAGGAGTAGGAGTCAAGCTAGCCAGCTCGAGCGAGTCAAGCATGGCATGCCCAGTCCCACCCGCCCTCCCACAACATAAGAAGCAAAGCTGGCACAACTGGGGGCCGAAGTCACACCGGCCAGCCGGTTTGGTACAGCTGATGCGGCCGCGATGGCGGTTGCCGACGGGAACTGGCGAGCGCGTGTTGAATGCCGCGCACGCATTGCCAGACGAGTCGAGAATGGCCCGGTACACCGCAGGAAGCCAGAGGTGGCCGGAGGAAGCCCGACGGTCTGACAGGACACCCCAAAGCATTTTTGTGAAAAAGCATTGGGTTTTTGATGTTTTTATGTTGAAATGCTTGCAAACACACGGTGTTCGGTAGGATTCTGACATGAACGCGCGAGTGTGCTCTTTGTGGTATTTTTTGCACAGGATTCGCGGCCTGGGTGCATGACAGAGCATCGCGAGTGCACCGCGCGATGACGTGAAATCGCTGGATTTGACCGAATTCTTAAGATTCCTATGGTTTTCCTATGATTTCAGCAAGAGAGCCCGGGCGGGAAATTTGTACAATTTTTGTGAAAAAGCATTGGGTTTTTGATGTTTTTATGTTGAAATGCTTGCAAACACACGGTGTTCGGTAGGATTCTGACATGAACGCGCGCGTGTGCTCTTTGTGGTATTTTTTGCAATGGATTATCGCCGTGGACGACAGGACGTCCATGTCGAGAGGAAAAAATAAAAAAATGTTGATGTTGTATTGTTTTTTACAGGTTAGGATGGGACCACCCGGATGCGGCCCCTATCGGCCGGCCTGAGGGGGGAGTAGGAGTATATTCTAATAAGGAATAAGGATAGGAGTAGGAGTAGGAGTAGGAGGGAGGTAGGAGGAGGAGGAGGAGGAGGAGGAGGAGAGAGAGTAATAAGGAGGGTAAGGAAGGAGAGGGAAGTAGGATAGAGGAAGGAGGAGGAGAGGAGGGGAGGAGGAAGAGGGAGGAGGGGGAGGAGGGGGAGGAGGGGGTAGGATCAGCTCTGGCAAGACCCGAAGGCAGAGCTCCAGGGGCACATCAAGGAGGTCATCGGGTCCACGGCCTCCAGGCCCGACATGGCCATCAACTTTGCCGAGCTGCTGATGCTCATGGGGAGGCTTCGCGACGCCAACTTCGGAGGCATCCGCGACAAGTTCTTCTCGTGAGCTGCAGAGCCCTCTCCCCTCCCCCCCGCCCGTATTCCTGTAATCATGCATCCTGCGGAAGAGGTTCGCTCTCGCTAAAAAAAAACATGTAATCGTGCATCCTGTATGGAAATAACCCCCTGGATGCCCCCCCCCAGAAAATCCGGGGACCCCTCTCAGTCGGCCTCCCTCTGGCCCGGGGGTGCCTTCCGGACTGCCCCCCGGGCCTCCCCGGCAAGCCAGCCGCACTTCCCCTGGACGTTGCGGGCGGCCCCAGCAGCCTCGCAGCGACCCCCAACGCGGCCAAGACGGCTCGAGGACGGCCTCCGAGTGGCCCCCACGGCGGCCAAAGCACGACCCAACAGCCTGCCAATGGGGCCCCAGGAGACGCCCAAGAGGGCCGCGGGATGCAACAGCATCTACGATGTGTCCTTTGGGTTCTCGACGACTGCTTTGCGTCTTGGCTTTTTGTTCCTGGCATGCTACGCTCCGCGAAGGCCCCACGCGCTTCCGAGATCGCCCCACGACGGCCCAAGAAGCTTCCGAGACGGCCCCGAGACGGCCGAAGACGGCACCGACACGGCCCAAGGCGGCCCGAGAAGCTTCAGAGACGGCCCCGAGACGGCCGAAGAGGGCACCCAGACGGCCCAAGACGGCCCCAAAAACAGCCCCGAGGCCCGAGGACGCGAACGCGGCCCAGGAGGGCCCTAACACGGTGCACGAGGCCCCCAAACCGCAAACCGCCCCAGAGGCCCCTAGCAGACTCCCAGGAAGCCCCCTAGAGGTAAGTCGGGCCTGTCCCTTTACAGGGGGGATGTTCAAAAATAGTCAAAAAATAGTCTGGGGACCATTTGTTGAATATGTTTTGGCCATTTTGGAGTATGTTTTGAGTATCTTTCATTTTTCGTCGAAAATCCCCCTGTAGGGGGACATGCCGACTTAACCCTAGAGGCCACTTGCACAGCCCACCACGCCCACCTCCTCCTCCTCCTCCTCCCTCCTCCTCCTCCTCCTCCTCCTCCTCCTCCTCCTCCTCCTCCTCCTCCTCCTCCTCCTCCTCCTCCCCTCCTCCTGCTCCTCCCGCCCTCCTCCTCCTCCTTCTCCAACCCCACCCGGAGGCCCAAATGTGCCCTCCATTTCCGCTTGGGGGGGGGGGGGCGGGGAACACTGAAAAACACACGGAACCCGCCCTCGCCCCTTCCAGATTTCACCACCCACCAGACCACCCCAACCCAGCCCGGAGGCCCAAATTGGCCCTCCATTTCCGGTTGGGGGAGGGGGGGGCGGGGAACACTGAACGACACACGGATCCCGTACCCCCCCCAACCCGAAATTCGGGTCAGATTCGGGTCAGATTCGGGTCTTCGGGGTTGGGGTGGGGTGGTCTGGTATAGGTATAATCCCCCGGCGGGGCGGAGATGCCCTGGGTCTGCCTGCTCCAGGGTGTGGCCAGAAGTGCCCCCTGGCCCGAGGTGCCCCCAGCTTCCCGCCTCCGTCCTGGAGCCCCCGGGGCCCCCGGGGCCTCGCGAGGGGTGCTCGGGAGGCCGCCTGGCCCCCGGGGCCCCGAGAACCCTGGGGGGGCGCCCTCGTAGGGGGCCACATGCGAGCCCCACCCCTACCCCCCACGATTTCTGAGGGGCGGGGGTTCGCTTCGCTCGCGAGTTCCCGAACGAAGTGAGCCCCAGAAATCGTGGGGGGTAGGGGTGGGGCTCGCATGCGGTCCCCTACCTGGGCCGGGGGCACCCCTGGCAGCGCCCAGTGCTCTGCCCGCGGCAGCACGCGCCGGGCCGGAGCTCTCCAGTAGGTGTTGACGGCGAGCAGGCTGCACGACGCCTAGCCGCCCTCGCGCGAAGCGCGAGAAAGTAGTTAGCCCCAGAAGTGCCCCTGACCCAGGGTGCCCCCCCACCCTGACGTCGGATCCGCCGTGCTTTGGTTGATTTTCCGACTTGGAATTGTGTCGTTACAGTTTTACCATATACTCAGAGCCAGTCTGGGGAGGGGCTGAAAACCCTTGTGAGGGGGGGGCGGCGGAACAGAGCCCGAGAGGGCTATTCGAAGTCCGACTGTATCAACACACGGATGCGATAAAGATTTCACCACTGCACATGCGATGGGGCTCTCAGCCCCTAGATCTACTTCAGTCGAAAAACACGGCACGCTGGGTGCCAGCTTCCTGAGCATGGCATCCCGCCGTAGCTTCCTGAGCTTACTAGCAGGACGTCCTAGCATTATGTATTTTTCGGCCCCTCCCCCAAGGGAGGGTGCGGTGGGGCCGACTTTGAGCCCGAAAGGGACGGGAGGGAAGGAGGGAATATAGGCGGCAAACAGACTACGATGGGGATGTAAAATTAAGTTCAATAACCACTATTTACAGTTTTACCATATACTCAGAGCCAGTCTGGGGAGGGGCTGAAAACCCTTTTGAGGGGGGGGGGCGGCGGAACAGAGCCCGAGAGGGCTATTCGAAGTCCGACTGTATCAAGACACGGATGCGATAAAGATTTCACCACTGCACATGCGATGGGGCTCTCAGCCCCTAGATCTACTTCAGTCGAAAAACACGGCACGCTGGGTGCCAGCTTCCTGAGCATGGCATCCCGCCGTAGCTTCCTGAGCTTACTAGCAGGACGTCCTAGCATTATGAATTTGTTGGCCCCTCCCAGCCGACCCCACAGGGCCACTGGCCAAAGGCCTGAAGCTCAAAAACAGCCGAGCACGGGCAAGACACGGGAGGGAGGGAAAGCGAGGCTGAACCGCTTTTGTCAACTTAAAAACCACGGCCGTCCCTCCCAGGACCCACTCTTCCCAGACTAGGCTCTCTTATGAAATACAGGTGAGAGGAGAGGGGCAGGGTCTAGTTCGACCCGTACATGCGCACAGGCACCTCGCGCTCACTGGCGCTCGCGAGCGCCTGGATCAGGCGCTTGCCGAGTGGCGTCCTTGACCCAGGGCCTCGCACGATGGCGTCGTGCACGGCCTGCCGCGGGCGCCGCCAGAACGCACAGCCCTGCTTGATCTGTGCGCCCTCCAGCTCGCTGAGTTTCTCCACCAGGACGTGGCACTTGGTGTACCTCTGGAGTCCAGCAGTGGAAGCCCAGCGCCCGCGGCGGCGTGCTGCTTCGAGGTCGCCCCCGAGCGCCACGAACCTCGCTGCCGCCGCATGCCTCATCCCATGCGGTGGTCCCATCTTCTCGAGACCCACGTCCTTCAGCGTCTTCAGCCAGACCGTGCGGAAGCTCGGCTGGGTGAACGTGAAGACCTGATCGTCGGGCTCGCGATCCTGCACCAGGACCGCCAGCAGCATCTTCGAGGTCGGCCACTCCAGGACCGCTCCCTGGTTGGCCCCCGTCTTGGTTTTCTGGTCCAGCATGCGGTCGCCGAGCCTGAGCCCCACGCCACCGTCAGGGGTGAAGCTCACGTGCTTGGCCCGCATCATCTCCCAGTCCTGCTCCCGCAGCCATCCGTCCAGCTGGACGATGCACGCGCAGCCCTCCAGCAGGTGACCCGTTTCGAGCATCCTCGTGATGATCACCGCCATCGCTTGGAAAGGTATCGGGTGTCCCTCTCCACCAAACTGCATCCGCTCCCACGACTTCAACGCTCTATGCGCCGTGGGGAGCCTCCCTCGGTGATCCTCGAAAATGTGCATGAACCCGTTGAACGTGAGGGAGGCCTTCATGGAGTTGTCGCCGCGCAGATAGCAGAGGTCGCTGATGTAGTTGCCGAGGGCGCGGTCCCTCTGCTCCAGCGCCGCGAAGGGCACCTCACCGCGCTTGCAGTCCACCAGGAAGGCCCTGACCTCCCGCTCGAGTCGTCCACCGCGTGGACCACCAGACGGTTGTTCCAGCGCGGGCGGTCCAGCTTGGCGTGCTGCCATGCTCGCGCCCCTCGCTTCTGCAGCGGAGGGGCGGCCCCTCCACGTCGCACTCCATGCACCACATGCAACGCCGTCACCAGCGCGATCCAGAAGGACAGCCGCCCGCTGCTCCTCGTACTCGACGCAGTCCCCGATGGGGCGGCAGCGGCACCCCACGTCGCCGAGGTGGGCGCCCGCGGCCGCAACGATCTCGCTTGGGAGGCGTGAGCCTCCCTGCTGAGAAGGTAGTCGAGCTGCGAGCGAGCTTCCAGGGTCCCGTAGATCACCGCCGCCGTTCCCGCACAGCCGCTGCTTCTCGTGTTCGACGTAGTCCCCGATGCGACGGCAGCAGCAGCCCGCGTCGCCGAGGTAGTCGCCCGCCGCCGCCACGATCTCGCTCGGAGGGCGTGAACCCCTTGCTGAGAAGGTAGTCGAGCTGCAGGCGCGCCACCAAGGTCCCGCAGATCACCGCCGCCGCCCCAGCACCTTCGGCAGCGGCCGCACCGACTTCGGCGTCGTCCTCATCTTGTGTGCAGCCTTGGTCTCGTCCGCCGCCCCGATGTCGACCCCCCTGCTCGGCCCGTGCGCCATGTTCCACTGACTGGGGGCCCATCGGCAGTAGCCCCTGCTGCCCAGGGCCAGCGCGACGCCACAGGCCACCCGCGCCAGCCGCAGCAGGGACGTCGCAGACGAGCGGCCCTTCTGCAGCACGCCCATGGAGACCACCGAGTCCGTCATTATCACAACCCGCTTGTTCCAGCATCTCGATGACCTCGCCAGATGCCGAAGCACGCTGATGACGCACCTCAGCTCCAGCACATTGTTGTGTTCTTCCGCTTCCCAGCGCCCACGGAAGAGCTCGTGCCACCTCGACTCGTCGACCCAGGCGGGCCCGATCGGCATCGCCTGCCCCCTGCTCCGCTCTACCCGAGGTCGCCCCCGCCGCAGTCGCACTTGCGCCCCCTTCGGCACCTCCCCCCAAGCGTAGTCGAGCTTCTCGAGCTTCGCGGCGTACCCCCGCACGAAGTCGTCCCCGTAGTTGATGGCGACGCCCGAGGCCAGCGCGAAGTCGCCCCGCAACCCGTCGCCCCCCACAAGGGACGCCGGGTTGGTCGGCACCGCCACCTCCTTCGCCTCCAGCGAGAAGACACCTTCCGAGGCGGCAGGCCTGTCCCGCGGGGGCCACCCCAACGCACTCGGCGCTGCCGGCCCCACGACGACAAAGCCCAGCCCCTCGCGGGTCGCGAGCCTGGCGACCTCGATGATCACCTGCGCGAAGGAGTTGTCCTGGTCGATCTTGTGCTGCGTCCTGTCGCTGACCCCGTCGTGGCCCCGGGGTACCTGCCCACTCCGATATTAGTCGTCCATGAAGTTGTCCAAGAACATGGTGAGATGGCAGACCCAATGCCATTGCCTCCGCAGGCGACTGAAGAGGCGCTTCACCACCAGCACGTCCAGCAGCTCCTCCACTCGAACGTCCTCCATCCACGCAGTGACCTGGTGCCCGATCTCGTCCTTTAGGTCCAGCAAGCCTTGCTGCAGCGTCAGTATGCCAGGCCGGCCCTCGCGCGGGTGCATCATCTCGTCCTCCTCCAGGCCCGCCTTGCTCGCCTCCTCCTCGATCTCCAGGTGCGCCTCCCCAACGCGAATCTGCCGCACCTGTTCGGCTCCACGATCCAGCTCGTCCCTGATCTCCTCCACGCTTGATTTCGTAGCGACCGCCCCGAAGCCCTCGTCGCTCGCATCGGTCATGTAGACCGCCGTGTGCCACTCCAGCTCCAGGTTCGCCTCGAAGCAGATGGCCGGCGCCCCCAGGGCCTTCAGCTCGTCCGCGACAGCGAGGGGAAGCCGCTGCACCTTCTCGGCGCCCTCGCCCTCTCAGCTGCCGACCCAGCGGCAGCAAGCGTCCAGGATCGCAAAGGCAGGCCTGCAGACCAACATCGCCCAGGCCCAGCAGCCCACCACCGTCGCCAGATCCCGCGGCCGCACGAGCTGAACCACCACGATAGCCTCGGTGCAGAGTATCAGGTCCTTCATCTTCTCGGGGTGGATCTTCAACGCGTAGGGTCGTCCCGATATGGTGAGCCCCAGCCCCCGTCGGAGCCCTTCCCCAGACTCCTCCTTGTGCACAGCGAGCCCCCTGGTGTTCAGGTAGCTCCGCACGCGGCCCTTGCTCACCTCGAGGTCCTCGCCCTCCCCGTCCTTCACGAGCTCCAAGCCTATGTAGTCGCCGATGTACAGCAGCAGCAGAAGCTCGGCCATGGCGAAACTCGGACATGCCTTGCCCAAGGTGATCTGCTCCGTGGACAGGCCTTCCATGGACTCGAAGCAGTCGACCAGGGCAGAGTGGGCCAGAAAGACCGCCCAGGCCGCGCCCATGACGGGGGCGACCGACCCCACCCCCACAGCACCACCTGCGGGTGGGGCGGGCAGCGCCGCGCCAGCCTCTGCCGCAAAGGCGACCAGCTCCTCGGGCACAACTCCCTCTAATGCGAAATACTCCGCAAGCCCGTCCGCCCACCTCAACATGTAGAACCAGTCGGGCACATCCCCTTGGAAGCTCCCCATCACGCGGCCCTTCAGGGTGTCGTTCGTCAACTCCAGCTCGGACAGGGCAGACGGCGACCCCAGCGGGGTCCACGGGGGCCGCCGAAGTTCACCTTCCGAGCGTCCCAGATGAGGCGGCACTTGACCACGTCCCGCCCATTCTCGCTCACGTCGTTGGCCACGCAGAAAAGCCCCACAGTGTGCTTCACCTCCTTGACGTACTGGATGATACCTGATTGCGCCATCCTCATGGCCACGGTGAGCCTGGTGTGCCGATCCTTCCAGCCAGGGTCGGAGTAGCTCTTGATGCCCTCGTACTTCTCCCAGTCCACCTCCTTGGGGTCCTCCAGCATCCGACTCTCGAAGCGCTCCAGATAGGGCGCCGCGGTCGTCGAGAGGGCCACCAGTGGTAGGCCCGCGGCCCCTGGAGGCGGCAACGAAACCTGGTCCGCCACCATCCTGCAGAGGTCGCCCTTCTTGATAAACACAGTAGATGGTGTAGTCTGCTTCTTCCCGCGCCCTCCGCCTGCAGCGTGGCCCGAGCTGTCGGAGCCCCGCAGGCGGCGAAGAACCGCCCTGCCGTCGCGGATGCTTCCCCGGGCTCCGAGGGCGGCGTGGCGGCCCCAAATGTCGTAGACAACCTTGCGCTGGAGCCCAGTTGCTTCCGCCCTCGAGCGCAGCACAGCCGCCCCATCGGCCATGCCCGCTCGCCCCGCGGCCAGAGCACGAAGTGTTCGGACCGTCCGACAGGTGCGCAGCCAGGTCAAACGTAGCTGCGCCGTCGTAAAGCCCGAGCTCGACGCCCGCGTCGCCAACGGTGCCGTCGGCGCGGGCAGGCTCCGAAGTGGGTCCCTCTCGGAAGTCCATCGCCATCGGGGACGCGAAAACGAAACACCTGCTCACCTGGAGCACGACGTGAATGTGGTGCAGCGATGTAGCTCAGGTCCGCGATGCACACGACACGGCCCGAACTGAATTCGCCCCGCAGCCCAGCGTCAAGTCGGCAGGCGAGGCCCAGCACGGCGAGCCCCAGGACCTTGACTCTCCTGCTCCACCCTCGGCCTGGCGATCTCCCCGCTGACGATCCCAACGCAGCACAGATCCACAGGAGTGAGCACAGCAGTGCGAGACTTGCCCAAGGGACGCCACTCCAAAGCGTACCCTCGGGCCACCCCTATTCGTCATCCTTGGGCGCCGCGTCCCGCACCGATGACAGGTGCTTCTGGGTCTGCGCCCTCTTCCTCAGCTTGTCGGTCACCTCGTCGTCGGCCAGGGGGTCCTCGATGGTGTCCTGCGACGTCAGCCGCAGGTACTCCTCCCCGAGGGACCAGTCCACCTTCGACTTCCACTTGGCTCCGCTCGCATTGCGAGGCCTCTTCCAGTCATGCTCGCAGGTGACCCCCTCGTAGGCCTTCGTGATCGCGTACATCCTGAGGCAACTGAGCTCAATCGCCTGAGAGTTGATCAGGCCCTTGAACCCCCAGAGGCCATCATGCGGTCCAACGTCATGGCGAGGACCAGCATTTCGTTGGCGATGGGGGCCCGCGTCAACTCCTTGCTCCCCAGCCACTCCTGGACCTCGATCTTCGCCGGGTGGCCCCCCCTGTAGACCTTGCTCAAAACCGTCGGGGCCGCCCGAGACTTGATCCCCCCCACCCCCATGTTGGGTGCGTGCTCGTAGCTCCTCAAAGTCTGGACGAGGGCAAACATGGGGTTCTTGCTCTCCAGCTCGAGCTGCGCGATCGCGTCCGAGACGGAGTCCGAGGGGACGGAAGGGAGCCGCTCCCACTCCGACTCAGAGACGGACTTGCCCGCCTCGCGACCACACCCCTTCGTCCCCTGGTCCGAGTCGCTCTTCACCAACTCCTCGTGCTCGTTCAGCTTGGCGATGAACTGGCCCAGCTGCGCCGTCGTGGGCACGGGGCTCTGGTCCGCCGAGCTGGAGGCGGCAGCCGCGGGCGCAGTTGGGATCTCCGTCCTGGACTGCTTCAGCGCCTCCGCCACGGCCGCCAGCCCCGCCCGCAGCTCGCTCTGGCCACGCTGCAGCTCCGCATACAGACCCTTGGCGTCGGGCTCGTCGTCCGAGTCGGGGACCGTGGTCCCGAGAATCAGCTCGCCCTCCGAGACGTCCGACTCCGAGTCTGAGTCCGAGAGTCCTTGCCACCGTCGGAACGCGTAGTTCAGGACCCACACCCCGAGAATCACGCTGCCGAGCCCCATCAGGATCGCCTCGAGCTCGCCCGACTCCCAGGCCTCCAGGAGGAGCCCCCAGTAGTGCGACACCTCCTCCGCCGTCTCCTTCGCGGCCACAGCCGCCTCGTACATCCTGAGGCACTAGGGGCCCAGGTGGAAGTACCGCCAGATCCGCCATGCTGCGAAAGCCCTGCCCGCGAGGCTCCCCCACGAGCGGTGAACCCACCCATAGCAGAACAGGTTCGACCCCATGGCCCAGGCCCAGTTCACCAGGCCAGCTTTCTTCGAGACCTTCTTCTTCCCGCTCGACTTCCAGAAGCCCTTCTTCTTGTCGCCGGCCTTGCTCAGCTTGACGCTCTCGGCGTCCAGCTCCTTCCGTGCGATCAAACGTGAAGAAGCAGCCCGCACCATGTCCCTAGTCTTGTCCGTCAAGCCAGGAAAGGGCGTCCACGTGTTGATGCCGCGAGGCGGCCTCGTGAACACGGACTGCTTGTCCTTCAAGCACACGATCTGGACCCTGAGACTTGGATCGACACATGTCCACGCCTGGTCGGCAGCCTTGCAAACGCGCTCCACCAGCAGCATGACCACGCCAGAGGCTTGGCCCTTGGGCAAGTAGTACACCCGATTCCATTGCGCCCACCCGCCCATGACGAGCGGTGGGCTGCCCACGACCCCGATGTCGGCGGCGTCGTCGACCAGCTCGACCGTCTCCGACGCGGTGGTCTCCTCCGCCGCGTCCTCGTCCTCGTCGCCCTCGTTCTCGTCCTCGAACCCCAGGCCGAGGAAGTCCAGGACCTGATCCTGGCTCAGGCCGCCGCCCGCGGCCAGCACCTCCTCCTGGACGTCGCCCGAGAGCCCCAGGAGCGCGAGCTCGGCAACACCCCAACATACTTATACTATATGTGCGTCGCCCCCCCAGGGGCGACGCGCGCACCGAGAAATCTTATAGTATATGCGTCGTGGCGGGCGCTTTCTGGCCACACCGCTCGGGAAACGATATACTACAAGATGGGTATACTATATGTTCGGGTCGGACGCGCGCCTCCAAGGAGGACATATCGTATTAGTATGTCCATGTGCGTCCCACGAGCGCCGCGCCCGCGAAGGCGAATGGCCGCGGAGTCGCTCCGCGGTGGGCGGCCGTGCACGGGCACGACCGCAGAAAGGCCCGCCCGCGGGTCTCCACGTGCCGACTTTGAGCCCGAAAGGGACGGGAGGGAAGGAGGGAATCCCTGACTCCTGATCCGCCCTACTTTGGGCGATTTCGAAAGTAGGGCGGAAATTTCCGCCCTACTTTTGAGGCCCCTTTGAGCGTCGATTTCCGCCCTTGAGGCTCCTTTGGCGTCGATTTCCGACACGATTTTAGGTCGGAAAATCATCCAAAGTACGGCGGATCAGGAGCCAGGGATATAGGCGGCAAACAGTCTACGATGGGATGTAAAGTGAAGTTCAAGAACCACTAGACACGCACCCCAAACGATGCGAAACAGTATGGCGGAAATTTCCACCTCAGGGAGAGATGGCGCGGATACTTCCGCAGAGGTGCTGGCGAAAACAGCGACGGCAAAGCACGGCGGAAGTCGGCATCAAAGGAGCTCAACACGCAGGGCGGACATTTCCGCCCTACTTGCCAAACCCACCAAAGTACGGCGGATCCGAAGGGGGGGGTCACTTCGCTCGCGAGTTCCCGAACGAAGTGAACCCCACCCTCCCCCTCAGAAATCGTGTGTGGGGGGGGCACTTCTGGCAACGCCCGGTGCTCTGCCCGTGGCAGCACGCGCCAGGCCGGAGCTCTCCGCTTGCCTGCGCGGGAGGCTGCACACGGAGGAGGGAGGAGGGAGGAGGGAGGAGGGAGAAGGGACGAGGGAGAGGCGAGGGAGGAGGGAGGAGTGAGGAGGTGAGGGAGGGAGGGGAGGGAGGAGGGAGGAGGGGTGAGGAGGAGGAGGGAGGAGGGAGGAGGGAGGAGGGAGGAGGCGAGGGAGTGAGGAGGGAGGAGGAGGAGGAGGAGGAGAGGAGGAGGCGGAGGAGGAGGAGGAGAGGAGGAGGAGGAGGAGAGGAGGGAGGAGGAGGAGGAGGAGGAGGAGGAGGAGGAGGAGGAGGACGCCCAGCCGCCCTCGCGCGAAGCGCGAGGAAGCAGTTGCCTCGGCGTGGCCGTGCAGCTGCCCCGCCCGCTCGCGGCGCGCCGCAGGGCCTCGGGCTGCTCCGCGCGCCGCCGGCATCGCGCCGACCTCGCCGGGGTCCGCCCGAAGGGGGGGCCCCCTTTCGGGGCTGGACAGAACCCCCAACAGTGACACGTCGATTAGTGAATTGTCCGTCTTCGGTTCTCGAGAGGGCGCCGTGGCCGTTATTTTCCAGGCCTGCGCCTGCCAGGTTTGGGCCTCAGGTCGTTTTCACTAAACCACGTTTTACTAAAGGGGGGTCTGTCCATCCCCGACCCTTCCGAGCGTCGGGGACCGGAGGCGCCTGGGACCAGTGGGCCGTCTGGCCCGGCCCGCGGCGTCCCTCGGGGTACGGGATCCTCCTCCTCTTCTTCTTCTTCTTCTTCTTCTTCTTCTTATTTTCATTGTTATCCTTCTCTTCTTCTTATTATTCTTCTTCTTCTTCTTCTTCTTAATATCGTTACTATTAAGGATGATTATGATTATTCCTTCTTCTCCTCCTCCTCCCCCTCCTCCTCCTCCTCCTCCTCCTCCTCCTCCTCCTTCTCCTTCTCCTTCTCCTTCTCTTCCTTCCTCCTCCTCCTCCTCCTCCTTCTCTTCCTTCTTCCTCCTCCTCCTCCTCCTCCTCCTCCTCCTCCCCGTGCCGACGCCATTCGATACTGGAGAAGGGGAAAAGCCCAGGGGACACACGGGGCGCAACCAAGAGCTCCCTGAACTCGAGGAGCACCCCTGGGTAGCCCCTTCTCCAGTGAGTGGCCAGGCGACAGTGGCCTAGGACCTTTTGCCCTCACACTCATGGCAGGCACGGCCTTCCTCAGGGAGGCAGGGCCGTATGGGCATGTATGGGCCGGGGTGCCCATCCGTGTCGATGGACAGGCAAACGCACCCGCCTCTGGTGCCTGAAGCAAGGGCGGCAGTGCGGGGCATCGTGCATCCGCAGATTCTGCGTCTTTGCCTTCGTCGCGAGGCAGTCGCCTCAAGGACCCAGCTCGGCGGCAAGGCCGGCGGTCCTGCACATTCCCTCATCCCTGGCTCTCGCACCTCGTTCCTTGTGGGCGCTGCCTGGCGGCAGCGCCAGTCTGCGCGCACTTGCTGAGGCTGCACACCTGCCCCCGTCGCGGGGCACATGCCTCGAGAACGTGGCCCCGCGGCAGCGCCGGCGGTGCTGCACACCTGCCCGTTGGACCAGCGTTCCGTCCCTTTTGGAGGTGTTGGCCGGCGGCAGTGCGAGTCCTCGTGCGCCCACATCTGATGCACGCGCTTGCCCCCGTCGCGGGGCTGCTGCCTCGAGGACACAGCCCGGCGGCAAGGCTGGCGGTCGTGCGCACTCGCCTATCCCTGGTTCTCGCACTTCGCTTCCCGTGGGCACCGCCTGGCGGCAGCGCCAGCTTGCGTGCATTAGCTGAGTCTGCACGCGTGCCCCGATGCTGATGCCTCAAGGGCGTTGCCCGGCGGCAATGCTGGCCGTCCTGCGCACCTGTCACGTCGGACCGTTACCAAGGTTCGTCCTCTTTGAGACGCTGGCTGGCGGCCAGTGCGAGCCACCGTGCGTCCACAGATTCTGCACACCTGCCCCGTCGTGAGGCTGTTGCCTCAGGGACATTGGCCCCTGGCAAGGCCAGCGGTCCTTCACATTCTCACGTGGCGCCGATAAACAAGGTTGCCTTTCTGTTGGACACACTGCCAGATTTCGTGCATCCAAGGACACAGCCTGGCGGAAAAGTCCGGCGATCCTAAACCTTCCCACTTCGAGCCGCCACCAAGGTTCGTCGGCTTTGGGAAGCAGGCTGGCGGCAATGCCAGCCATCGTGCCGCATGCGTCCGCAGGTCACCCTTGCCCAGGGTCACCCCTGCGTGCAGCCGAGGGAGGCAGCTTGAGGCTCGTGGGCGGCAGCGCAGGGCAATTCAACCACCACCAGGTCTGCTGAGCCGCCACGCCCCCCAGCCTCTGGGCGGGCCACCGTCGCCGAGTCTGTTTTCTCTGAGCCGTCCACCTGGTGTTCGGGACCGCCGCAGAACTTTCCCCTCTCCTCCCCCCATCTCTAGTGAATTCAGGCTTCGCGCGGCCCGCTCAGCTTCGACCGGAAGAGGTGCGCTCTCGAGGGGGATATCATGGCGTGGGCCATGATATTTCCCCAGATCTCATGGCGCCTCCTCTTATTTCATTACGTCCCTGGCCCCCCCGCTGGGCCGCGCACATGCCGCCGGTCATGATTTGCACCCCCCCCTCTTGGACACCCCCCTCTTGGCCGCTCCCGAAGCATCAGACGGCCAGAAACACTGGCTCAGAGTGTCTCTCCGCCGCTTCTGGCCCACCACGCTCCGCAGAGGGACTTTTATCCAGCGTCGCCCTGATAAGAAACAGTCCTGTCGAATGGTTAACACCTGGACAAGACCCTGCACTAGACACCTCCGAAAGAGCGCGCTCGTGGCGCACTTCTCATGAAAAATGGGGTGGCCCAGCCTCAAGCTACACCCGCCCCCTCTCTCGGGCCGAACGAAAGGGGGGGATAGGGAAAGGGGGGGGGGTACGAAATCTGCTGCATGCAGCTGGTTTCGGCCTCGCCGCCGGGCCCGTTCCTCGATACATTGGGCGGCTCCCGGCGCCAGGAGGCGCTGGGAAAATCAGCTACGTGAGCGGATCCCGTACCCTACGCTTTGCTATCCCCCCCTTTCGTTCCCCCCGCCCCCTCTCCCTTGGCAAAGGGGAGCCCTGGCTCCTGATCCGCCGTACTTTGGATGATTTTCCGACCTAAAATTGTGTCGGAAATCGACGCCAAAGGAGCCTCAAGGGCGGAAATCGACGCTCCAAGGGGCCTCAAAAGTAGGGCGGAAATCTCCGCCCTAGTTTCGAAATCGCCCAAAGTAGGGCGGATCAGGAGTCAGGGTTTGCTATCCCCCCCTTTCGTTCCCCCCGCCCCCTCTCCCTTGGAAAAGGGGAGGTAGGGGGCTTCCGAAGCTATCCCGTACCAGTCCTCGAGCGCCAACGGCCCCGAGGCTCTGCTCCCCTCCCGCACCCGCGGAGGGGGGAGGCGCGCTGTCCGCCCCTTGCAGGGCACGTCGGTTCTGCTTGCCAGGTGCCTCCTCCTCCTCCTCCTCGTCCTCCTCCTCCTCCTCCTCCTCCTCCTCCTCGTCCTCCTCCTCCTCCTCCTCCTCCTCGTCCTCCTCCTCCTCCTCCTCCTCCTCCTCCTCCTCCTCCTCCTCCTCCTCCTCCTCCCCCCCGCCCCCTCCCTGAACCTCCTCCCCCATCCTCCGCCATTCGATCCTCCTCCACCTCCTCCACCTCCTCCTCCTCCTCCTCGTCCTTCTCCCGGGTGCCTCCTGTAGGGCTCCCGAGGGGCCACTCGGGGGGTCGGAGTTGTTTGGGGCTGGCTGGGGTGCCGTCCAGGGTCGTCGTTCGAAGCTCAGGAAGCGGCTCTTGGCCTCGGAGGCCCCAAGGCAATCCAAATGACGACCCTCGCGCAAGCGTTAGCTCTACTTTGGTTCCGGCATCTAGCCTATGGGGGGGATATTTGGGAGTCACGTTCGGTCCAGTGCCCAGTGGGTCTGATCAGGAAGCGGCTCAAGCGCGCCAAGAACCGCCGCTCTCTTCTTTGCTCCAGGAGCCCCCTCGAACAAGTTGCACACAGAGTCGTGCGCTTCAATAGGCGCGCCTCCGCGGGGCGGCAAACTGTTTAACTAGGTTGCAATTGCCGGCGCTCAATGCGCCTGTGGTTTAGCATTGCCGCTTGCCCCATCCAGAGCAGCGTGCGGGAGTTGCGCCGCGAGGATCGCAGCCGTGCTGACCGCCTGCTGGAGGCTCGAGCGGCCGAAGCCGCCGTTTAGCTGGCACGTGCCCGTACATATTGTGCGGTGAGAGGTAGGAGGAGGAGGAGGAGGAGGAGGAGGAGGAGGAGGAGGAGGAGGAGGAG